CTTGATATTCTCCTGGTAATCTGGATCAACTGCAGTGAAATGAACACCATCAGTGATATAAAATGTTGGTTCATTCATAAAACAGTTGGGATCATTTTCAGGTGTTGCTTCTCTGTATGTAGAGGTTGCATGGACTCTACCCCAATTATTCAACCGGAATTCTACAAGCTTCAAAAGCATCTGTTTTACATCTCTGCTGCAATTTGCATCTAGGACAACATTTTCAGTTCGCTGAATAATTTCTTCTATTTCATTCTTTCCTTTTTCCTTCCAGGCATCTTCCAAAACTGATACTGCACAACAGAATGAAGCACTGCCCAGTCCTGGATGCTGGATTTTGTTAAATTTTGTTAAGTGCCTTTTCTGCATTGATATTATCATGCAGTTTTGCCCTTTTTAAAAATTATGTGGTGAATTACATTAATTGTTTTTCTAATATTGAATCATTATTGCATCCTGGTATGAATCCCTCTTGGTCATCACATATTATTTTTCTGATATGTTACCGAATTCTATTGGCTAGGATTTTGTTGAGAATTTTTGCATCCATGTTCATGAGGGATATTGATCATACCCTCGTTTTGGTATGAGGATTATGCTTGCTTCGTTTTAGGATGTTTCCCATTCTTTTCTATATTCTGGAATAGTTTGAGTATAATTGGTGTTAGCTCTTCTCTGAATGTTTGGTAAAATTCACTAGTAAGGCCATCTGGGCCTGAACTTTTTCTACTTCACTCTGTGTAAGTTTAAGTAGGTCATGTTTTTCTGGAAATGTATCCATCCATTTCCTCTATATTTTCGAATTTGTTGGAGTATAGCTCTTCATGGTATTCTGTTATTATCCTTCCTCCCAATCCCCATTGGTTCTGTTGTGACATCACACATGTGGTTTCTATGTGTGCTATTTGTGCTTTCTCCCTCTTTTGTTTTGTTAGGTTTGCCAATGGTTTGTCAATTTTATTAATCCTTTTGAAGAACAAACTTCTTGTCCTGTTGATACTTTCTGTAGTTTTTTCTGTTTTCTATCTCATTATTTCTGCAGTCATTATTTCTTTTCTTCTAGTGGATGTAGTTTTACTTTGCTGGTCTTTTTCTAATTGTTGGAGATCTTGTGTTAATGTGTTATTTGGGGTTATTTCTTCTTTTTGGATGTGTACATTTATTGCGATAAATTGTCCTCTTAGCACTGCTTTTCCTGCATCTCAAAGGTTTTGGTATGTAGTATTTTCATTCTCATTTGTTTCTAGGAATTTTTAAATTTCATGTTTTATTTGTTCTGCTACGCCGTAGCTTTAAAGCAGAGTGTTATTCTGCTTTCATGTATTTGACTCTATTTACTTGTTCTTCTTATTATTCATTTCTAGTTTTGGCATTATGGTCTGAAAAGATGCTTTGTATTATTTTGATTATTTTAATTTTATTGAGACTTGCTTTGTGGCCTAACACACAGTCTGTTCTGGAGAATGTTCCATGTACATTGGAAAAGAATATGTATTGTGTTGTTGTTGGGTTGACTGCTCTGTACCAATCTAGGAGGTCAATTTGGTTGATTGTATTGTTTAGTTCTGTGTCTTTGTTGAGTTTTTTCCGGTTGTTCTGTCCTTTTTCTAAAGTGGTGTATTAAAATCGATGGGGACGTGGAGAGAGGGAGCGGCTGAGGACTCTAGATTCATGGAAAGAGAGAGACTGAGAGCTGTCGGCTAGGAGGCAGACTTGCAGAATGTGTCTTTTGGTAGTATAAATTATTAGATATGCCTGAGTGTTTATAAAAAAAAGAGCTAAAGTGAATAGAGAGAAATACTATTAACTGGTGATACTTGGAGGGGATTGTAACCATTGTAATGAAACAAAGTATTGATATGTTGAATGTAAAATTGATAATCTGTCCTGTAAACTTTCACTCAATTCACAATAAAAGCTTTAAAAAAAAAAAAAAAACTCCCACTATTACTGTAGATCTGTCTACTTCTTTCTTCAATACCAATAGGGTTTACTTTATGTGTTCTTGGTGTTCTGGGTATCTTTCATTGGGAGCATTGACATTATGATTACGTCTTCTTGTTCAACTGACCCTTTAACCATGAGATAATGTCTTTGTCTCTTATGCTGGTTTTGCCTTAAAGTTTATTTTTTATCAGAGATTAATGTTGCTACTCTTGGTCATTTTGATTACTATTAATTTGGTATATTTTTTTCCCATCTTTTAATTTTTAATCCAATTTCCTCTTTGTGTGTTAGGTGTGTCTCTTGAAGATAGCATATTGAAGGATCTTATTTTCTTACCCATTCTGCTACTGTATGTATCCTGATTGGTGCATTTAATCTATTGACATTCAATGTAATTATTGATAGGTATGGATTAATTGCTGTCATTATGCTGTTTGTTTTTGTGCTGCTGCTGGTTTCTTTGTTCTGGTTGCTTTCCTGTGCTAAGTTCATGTTGTTTGGTGCTTTTTCTCATCAACTTCTTCATAGTGTTAATGTTTCCATAATTTTCTTGGACTTCTCTTTACTTGAATTGATGAGGGGTTTTACAGGGTGCAAATATAGCTTGGTTGTATGGCAGCAGTTGCTGTCTCTTATCAGGTGAGGCATGGGGAGAAAGTTTTCCCATAAGACATAAACAGAGCTAAAATTCAAGACTAAAAACCAAAGTCAAATTTCATAAAAACCCAGGAAAAAATATATATAAAGCTGGGAAACCCAGAGAAAACACAAAAAGAAACATCACAGGAACATATGAGTGATTCTTCAGCATCACCTAAAGGATGTGCCAGGAGTCCTGGTGTGATGTTGGGGGATAAAACTCTGGACCACAAGGTCAGTTTGAACCACAAGATCAGCAGTTCAAACTCACCAGCCTCTCCTTGGAAACCCTATGCAGGGTCACTATGAGTCAGAACCAATTCAACAGCACCAAACAATAGCAATGGACTCTTGCCTTCCAAGTCTACTGAGATATTCCCTTATGTTCTCACTGTGCCAATGTGATCAGCCCCAGGCCTTACTTTATTCCCCCTACCCTGAAGTCTGTTTATTTGTATCTCTGAGTGAGAGCCAGCTCAGGACTGACAAGATCCATTTTGGAAGAGAATCCTGGAACCATTTTTTGTTTGTTTGTTTTTTGTCTGTCTCCACCTGCACCAGCGATAAATCCTTCCTCTGCACAGTGCAGAAGAATGACGATCCTTCTGTGTGTCACAATACCTTGCGTGCAATGAAGGACCATCCCTGGGGGTGTGTACTTCGGAAAGTCTCCCCTAGTTCTCTTAAGCAATCTTTAGTATTTTGTTCTTTCTTTTCTTCTCTTAGAACTTTCCTCCCCTTAATCAGGAATTGCCAGCATAATTTCCAGGAATGAAGCAATTATCAAGCGAATGAACTTAAAGTGTGAGTCCAGGTGTTTATCACTCAAGCACTTGCTAGTTGTTTTTTTTTTTTTTTTAATTTTCCCTGGAGGAAGAACCAGGAGATGGTACCAGGTTTTGGTCCCCACTACTGTCTTTGTGCAGATCTGTACGGGGTACACTCGTTCTCGCTGCCTTTGCTCTTAGAGTGGCAGTAAATTCTTTGACATCCAGAGTTTTGGTTGGAACTCATTCACATAGAAATGGCTGAACACTCACATGGCTGACCTCAGTCTCCAGTCCCTCCAGATGTAAAGCTGATACTGTCCCTAGTCGTATTTTGAGTGCCTTCCAACCTAAGGGGCTCATCTTCCAGCACTATATCTGACAATATTCTGGTGTTATTCATAATGTTTTCATTTTCCAGCACTATATCTGACATTGTTCAGCTGCTATTTATAAGGTTTTCAGTGACTAAACACTTGGAGTCCTGGTATGGCGCTGTCGGTTAATGCGTCAGACTGCAAAGCCGTTTGAACTGCAAGATTGATAGTTCAAGCTCACCAGCTGCTCTTTGGAAACTCTATAGAGGGTCGCTATGGGTCGGAACTGACTCAAAGACACTTTACAACAACAACTAGAAACACTCAAAAGTAGTCTGTCTTTCCTTCCTAGTTTGTTTTAGCATGGAAGCTCCCTTGAAACCTGCCTACCATGGGTGACCCGGAAGCTCTGCTGAAACCTGTCTGCCATGAGTGACCCTGGTAGTATTTAAAATACTGGTGGCATAGCTTCCAGCATCACAGTAACTAGCAAACTATCACAGTACAACAAACTGACAGACAAGTTGATATTAAACTAGAAATAACTAAATGTGAAGCTATCGCTTCTTCACTTTGTCTTCTCCATTTTGTCTGCACACTTTTGAAAGCAGTGTTTCCATCTCTCTAACCTTGCCCAGAAGAATTCTATGTTCTTTGGTTGACCATGTCAAAACAGCAGTTTTGGCATCATTGAGGAACTCAGACTATGCTCCTTTTAAATGTTATTTAAGTTTGGGGAACAAAAAGAAGTCTAAAGGGGCAAAATCAAAGCTGTAGGGTAGATGGGTTAAGGTTTTCCAATGAGATTCGTATAGGACAGCCCTTACTACCCTCTAAGAATGAGCAGGTACATTCTCATGATAGAAACAAAAAACCTTGGTGTAACTTTCCTAGCCTTTTCCTCACCAATGCAGTTCTAACGTTTCTTAGCACTTCATCATAATAATTCACTGTGATTATCCTCTGTCTTTAGAGAAAATCTTTGGAAGGTCAGTAAAAGTTAGCATGACCTTCTGAGTTGACCTCTCTGCCTTGCATTTAACTGGCCCAGCAGATCACCTTGGAAGTAACTGTTGTAACTGGACCATTTTTTTAAGAGACCCTAATGAAACTAAGACAAATGTATTACTGAGAGAACTACAATTATCCAGTGATCACAGAAGCATGCTTATACACTGTTTGCTTGGCATAAACTCATGCTTGTATGAACTAGAACCCTAGTAGCAATACCCTCAACTAGCTCTCTTATACCCACAATAGCACATCAATGATAAGATATTTATCATATTAATTATGTTAAGACAAAAATAAACAGGCATACATACCTGACATCTTTTTAACTCTGAGTCAGCATTTAATAGTTTAGTTTTTGACAGAATATTAAAGACAAATGGAAAGTGGCTGAATGTGACATAACATGAAGTGTCTTCTGGAAATTCCTAAAAATGGAAAGGACAATTATTTTGATTAATTAAAGGACAAATAAATCTTATACATTTTATCCCATAGCCTTCAATTCCTGATGGTTTAAGGTCTTAGTACCTCTAGCCACAGAAATCCAAATTGGTAGTCAATAGTACTTGTTGTTGTTGTTGTTGTTGTTGTTGTTGTTAGGTGTCATCGAGTTGGTACCGACTCATAGTGATCTAATGCACAGCAGAACGAAACACTGCCCGATTCTGGGGCAACCTCACTACTGTTGCCACGCTTGAGTCCATCGATGCTACCAATTGGCCAATCCATCTCGTTGGGGGTCTATGTGTTTCATAGTTATCAATAAAAGGTTTGCAAGCCTAATATATTCAATGGCCAATTTAGCAATTAATTACAAACTTTGAACATTTTCCCCAAGAGTCTCATCTGCTGCAATCTCTGTTCCTACAATGTGAATGAGCTTAGATGTGTTTGGTATAAGGGAGTGGTGTCATGCCGAAAGCTATTTAGGTACTATATGATTTTTGCTGGATAAGTGCTATGGAGTTTTTGTTGTTGTTGTTGTTAAGTGCTATGGAGTTGGTTCTGACCCATAGCGACCTTATTTATATAGGGTTTCCAAAGAGCGACTGGTGGATTTGAAATGCCGACCTTGTGGTTCAAACTGACTTTCCAGAGCATTATCCTGCAGTGCCACTCCAGGACTAGAAATAATATTATAACCTTCATAGAAAAGGTTAGCTGTTACACTGGCAGTAGGAGTCTTTAGCAGCATTTTAATAAAGTGAAAAGGAGTGACCACACCCAGAGCACCATTCTCAAAGCTGCATTTCTCTATTGCCAGCTTTTGCCTCCTGAAGCTAGAGCTACATTACCTCTGTGCTCACATTAACAGCAGTACCCTGAGCTCAGAGCTCTGTTTCCATCTCTGGCATCTCGGTATTATCAATCCTTTTCTAATTAAAGTGTGGATTATTTTCATCCATTTACTTTGACTTTTGTGTATTTTTCATATTCTCACATGTCCACGAGCTCTTGCACCATTGACTCAAGGTATCTCCCTAGTCAATTGTCCATTCTGCTAGTACTCTGGCTATGAAATTACATAGGTTTTGAGGGTGTCTATCATTTGCCATAAGGAGCTCTGGTAGCACAGTGGTTACGAATTGGGCTGCTAACCTCAAGTTTGGCAGTTGGAAACTACCAGCTGTTCCACAGGAGAAAGGTGAGGTTTTGTGCTCCCATAAAGATTTGCAGCCTTGGAAACCCTGTGCAGGGTCATTATGAGTTGGAACCGACTCTACAGTACTTAACAACAACAACATCATTTGCCATAATCATTTTTCATAAACCCTGGTATTTTTATTGTACAATTTTGCAGAGTAACAGGCTTCTCAGAAACTGATGTATCGAGAAATACCCATATTAACTAGTCAGGTAATAAATATGCAATAATTACCCAGTTCATACTCCAACAGGATCTTCTATATGCTGCCTCATGAAAATTGAGCAAATGTGAGAGTTCATCTATGTGGAAATTATTTTCAGGCAGTTTATGTTTGGTCTGGTTTACCTGAAATGAAATAAGACCTGTGAGAAAGTTTTATATTTAAAGACAATTTTGCTTAATGGATTAATGAGATTCATAGTAAATTGAACATTCCTTTTAATGGCCAGAATAAAGTTCTGTCCAATTCTTAAATTGACTACGCCTCTAATTTTTGTGAACCTAAAGAATATCTAGGATTTTACAATACTTTTTTTTTTAATTAACAGAAAAGTTTTAGGGAACTTTATTTTAAGTCCAAAGAATAGAAACAGTACAACGTGAATCCAAAATACTCTGGCTGTTGTTGTTATGGTTAAGTGCTGTGGAGTCAATTTTGATCCATAATGACCCTGTATGGGGTTTACGAGGAGCACCTGGTGAGCTTGAATTGCTGACCTTGTGGTTCAAAGCGACTTTGCAGTGCAGCACATTAACCCACAGCACCGCACCAAAACTTAACAACATGCCATTTAAAGATGTTCCTTCTGCCAAGGCTTAGGTGGAATACTTCCCTACCAAACCATGGGGGAAATTCACACAAATAAAGGAGCTCTGGTAGGGTAGCGTGTTATGAGCCGGGCTGCTAACTGCTAGGTCAGTACATTGAATTTTACCATTTGCTCTGAAGGAGAAAGAAGAGGCTTACTGCTCCCATAAAGATATACAACTTCAGAAATGCTATAAAGTTCACTATGAGTCGGGACTGACTCGGTGGCACACAACCACCACCAACATGCCACAAATATGTGGAATTTAAACAACATTTTCCTAAATAACCAATGGGTGAGAGAAGAAATTAAAATGGAAATCAGAAAACATTTTGAATTGAATGAAAGTGAAAACACAATATACTAAAACCTTATGTGACACAACTAAAGCAGTGTTTAGAGGGAAATGTACCATTGTGAATGCATATACACTATGTGTATCATTGTGAATGCATATACACTATGTGTATCATTGTGAATGCATATACAGTTGTGTGTTGTTTAACATCCATGATGCGGTTGTTAAGTGCTGTCCAGTCAGTTCAGACTCATAAATGACCTTGTATAGGGTTTCCGAGGAGTCTGGCGTGGCACCATGGACTACAGAGTTGCTTGAACTGCAAGGTCGGTGGTTCAAGCTCACCAGCTGCTCCTCGGAAACTCTATACCTGGTCGCTATGGGTTAGAACCAACTTGATGGCATGTTAACAACAAACAACAACATAGGGTTTCTGAAAATATAAATCTTTGCAGGAGCAGAAAGCCCCAGTTTTCTCCTGTGTAGCGTCTGCTGGACTTGAATGGCCAACCCTATGGTTTGAAGTCCAGTGCTTATCCTGCAGTATTACCTCACTTCCTAATATCCATGCTGTTATTATGTGCTGTCAAGTCAGTTCCTCCTCATACGAGCCTATGCACAACAGAACATAGCACCGCCTGGTCCTGCACCATCCTCACACTTCTTATGCTTGAGCTCATTGCTGCTACCATTGTGCCAGACCACCTCGCTAGAGACCTTCCTCTGTTTCGTTGACCCTCCACTTTACCAAGCATGATGTCCCTCTCCAGGGACTGGTCCCAAGTGATAGCATGTCTGAGATGAACGTTCCCTAACCTAGCATCTAAAGAGCGTTCTGGCTATCTTTCCTCCAATACATACTTATTTGTTTTTTGGCAGGCCAGGGTACTTTTAATATTCTTCTCTAACACCATAACTCAAATGCATCAATTCTTCTACTGTCTTCCTTACTCATTGTCCAATTTCCACATGCATATGAGACTATTGAATAGACTATGGCTTGGGTTACTAGACTATAACCCTGGTCGTTAAACTGACATTTTTGCTCTTGAACACTTTAAAGAGGATTCATGAAGATTTGCCTAATGCAATGTCTTTTGATTTCTCCACTGCTGCTTCCATGAGATGTGATTGTGCATCCCCCAAAAATGAAGTCTTTGACAACTTCAATCTCTTCTACATATATCATGATGTTATTTATTGGTCCATTGGTGAGGATTTTTATTTTATTTACATTGAGCTTCAACCCACAACGAAGGTTGTAGTCCTTAATCTTCATCAATAAGTATTTTAAATCCTCTTCACTTTCATCAAGCAAAGTTGTATCATCTACATATTGGATGTTGTTAATGAGTCTTCCTTCAATCCTGATGCCGTGTTCTTCATATAATCCAGCTTCTCGGATTATTTGCTCATTTTACAGATTGAAAACGTGTGGTGAAAGAACACAGCTCTGACACACAACTTTCCTGATTTTTAAACTTTCCAGCATCCCGTTGTTGTATTTGAATGATTGTCTCTTGGTCTATTTACAGGTTTCCCATGAGCACAATTAAGTCTTTCGGACAACTCATTCTCCTCAATGTTGTGCATAGCTTCTTTGAGCCACATAATTAAAAACCTTTGTGTACTCATTAAAGCACAGGTGAAAATCTTTCTGGTATTCTCTGATTTCAGCCAAGACCCATTTTACTACGTCAGCAATAATATCCCTCATTCCATGTCCCCATCTGAATCCCCGGCCTGATCCTCTGGCAGCTCCCTGGCAATGTACTACTGCAGCTATTTTAAAATTATCTTTAGTTTTTCCATTGTCTCTTGCCAGAGGTATAATCAATCTGATTTGTGTATTCCATCTGATGGTGTTGATGTGTATAGTCTCCTTTTATGTTGCTGTAGAAAATTATTTGCAATAAGTAAAGCATTGCAAAATTCTATCATGCAATCTCCAGCATCATTTCTATCACCAAGGTCATATTTTCCAACTACTAATTCTTCCTTTCTGTTTACATTCTATGAAAAATAGGACATTCTGTGATGTTGTGTAACACCATATTAAAACTGTGTTAAATCTGTATGGAAACTCTCTTCTGGTTATCCTCATCACCCAACTGCCACTGCAGTGGAGGGTGGTGGAGGGAGCAGTCAGAGGAAGTGAGTGAGGAGGAAGTGGAACACATCCATCCCTACCTGCTCTTCTGCTTTTATCAGCAGTAGGAACCGCCTGGATCCCACAGCCCCTACTACCTGCCTGCCTTTCAGACAAAGCTGAAGAGTCCGTCTGCTCCCAGAGACATATCCTCTGTTTCGTCTGCCTGTAAACTACCTGTGAACCAGTGCTGCATAAATCTAGGTTTGGGGTCTTTAAAATCAGTAGGGGAAATACTTTTATTTTCCTTTGAAAACCAAACAAAATCTTATAGAACCATGGGACCACACACATATATACGGTAGGACACTGTCCAAATGGATGCCATGCAATTTACCTTCATTAAGAAAGAAGAAAGATCTCAAGTCAGTAACTTATCTTCCACCTGAGACATTGGAAAAAGAAGAGCAAACTGATCCTAAAGCAAGAAGTAGGAAAATAATAAAGATCAGAGTAGAGATTAATGAAATAGGAAAGAGAAAAACAAAAGAGAGAAAAAAATCAATGAAACCAAATACTGATTATCTGATCAACAAAACTGACATACCTTTAGCTAAATGACAAAGAGACAACTCAAATTACTGAGTAATTAGTGACAGTGGGGGTGTTACTATTGAACCTGCAGAAATAAAAAGTATTTTAATGGAATACCATATTTTTATTCAAATAATAAACTCCCCTTCTGTGTTTATTTGTCAATCATTCCCTCCCTTTGGGAAGCATTTTTGTAAAAATGCTGTGCTAATGTTTGGGGTTTTTCCCATGTAAAAACTTACTGGCATAGGAATGTTTACAAATATATTTCCTGAGGGGAGGGAGCAGTTGACAATCAAATGTAGCGGTTAACAACAAAAACTCATAGGAAGGCATAAACTACTGAAACAGACTCGAGAAGAAGTAAACAATCTGAATAAAACTATTACAAGTGAAAGAATTAAAGTAGTAATAAAAAAAGTAATGTCCATAAGGAAAAAGCCAGCCAAGATAGCTTAACAGTGGAATTCTACAAAACACTTAACATAGAATTAATACCAGTTTTTCACAAATTCTTCCCAAAAACAGAAGAGGAGGGAATATTTTCTAAGCATTCTAAAAGGCTAGTATTACCCTCATATTGAAACCAGACCGTAGAAAAGGAAATCATAGGCCAATACCTCTTTTGAGAATGGACAAGAAAATCCTCAACAAAACACTAGCAAGCTAAACCAGAAAAATATAAAAAGAATTATACATCATGACCAAGTGATATTTATCAAAGGGATGTAAGGTTGGTTCAACAGAAGAAAACCAATTAATGTGATACATCATATCTATACAATAAAAAAAAATAACATTCAAAGATACGCAGTCATCAGTCAATATTATTAAGGGTCAGTCCATCCTGATAAATCAGTAAGAGGATTAAAGGTAACGTGAATCTTCCTTTGCACCTAATAGCTTCACAGTGAGGGACTCCAGGTCCAAATGATGCACTCCACTTTGGCTCTTCTTTCTTAGTGGTGGTAGGAACCCCTTTCTGTACTCACCTCTCTCTTCGTTTCTCTTGCAAGATAAAAGCTGTTGCAGACAACACCCCTGGGAAACTCCCTGACATCCAGTCATAGTTAAAATGGGACTAAAGATATTCAGCACACCTTTAATCCTCTTACTGGCTTATCACATCAGATCACATCATGGGGAATAATCACATAACTGCCAGACTTCTGTGAAAAATGGCCCAGTCAAGTGGATACATATTAGATGCCGTCGAGCTGGTATCAACTCTAGCTACCCTATGCACAACAAAACAAAAGACTGACCAGTCCTGCACCAATCTCACAATCATTGCTACACTTGAGCCTATTGCTGCTGCCACTGTGCCAATCCATCTTATTGGGAGTCTTCCTCTTATTCGCTGACCTTCCACTTTACCAAGCATGATGTCCTTCTCCGGGAACTGATCCCTCCTGATAATATGTCTGAAGTATGAGAGATGAAGTCTGGCCATCCTGGCTCCTAAGCAGCTTTCTGGCTCTACTTCTTCCAACATGTTTGTTTGTTCTTCTGACAGTCTATGGTGCTTTAAATATTCTTCTCTAACACCATAGTT